AAGTCTGACAACGGCCCACAATACAGCTCGTCCGAGTTTGCCAGCTTTTCAGATTCGTGGAATTTCAAACRTGTGACTTCAAGTCCGAAGTACCCGCAATCGAATGGTCTTGCTGAGAAAAACGTCCAAACGGCAAAGCTCATACTAGAGAAGGCTAGGCTCTGCGGGAAAGACCCACATCTGGCACTACTTGAACAACAAAATACACCAATCAACAATTTCAAGACAYCAGCCCAGCTCTAAATGGGAAGRCRTCTACGCTCCATGCTGCCTTGCACAACACGAAACCTGCTAACACAAAGCCCAAGCCACAGCGAAGTCCAGCTACGCCTTCAAAAAAAGCAACTTACCCAAAAGGCACAGTATGACAAGGTTGCCAAGGAACTAGAGCCTCTAGCACCAGGTGACAATCAAGACAGAGGACGGAGGCGAYTACAGGAGGAACAGGAGACACCAGTTCAAGGGAAAACAAACGCCCAAGGGTGCCCTCAAGAGACCAGAAACTGCGTACGCCAACTCACAAGTGCCACAGACACAAACAGAAGATTCTGGCTCGGAGTCTGCTGCATACACAACGAGATCAGGACCTGTAGTCAAGCCACCCTCCCGCTACGAACATTAACATACAACACAAACACTACAAGCTTTAGAGACATTTTAGATAAGCCATTAACATTGTTTCAGTTTTCACTCTCATTCTTCAAAGGGGAGTTGCACCATATTGCGTTACATTATCACATGATTGTAATTCTATATCTTAGTCTTCCATATATAAGACCTGTAAGATTATGACATTGAGAGTGAATAAAGCACACTTAACACACGAGGCATAAGACAATTACAGTATTTGTATGAATTTGCACGGTCGCTTTCTGACTCCATGTCTAGAGAAGTAGGACGACTTCATTTTGCGAATGATGCTTGTGCTTGCGTAACTAGTAAGAGATGTGATCTCCCAAAAGCGGCTGTAGTAATCTACCACGATTAGATAGTTCGTGTTGTTCCAGGTAAATAAATCGGTTGCGACAATTTGCCATGGGTATCTGGGGATCTCGTGTGGTATCATTGGCTCTTTCTGGGTGCTCCTTCTCAGTTCATTTGCATGTTGAGCAATTTGCAACCAAGTCTTCGATTCGACTGGACATTCCTGGCCAACAGACTAACCCTCTCGCTCGTAGCTTGCTTTTCTCCATACCATGGTGACCTTCATGTATCTTTGCCAGGATTTCCTTTCTCTTGTACGTCAGTCAGGTTCACTATGGCTTCAGCTTTCATAATCAGACCATCGTAGACTATAAGAGAGTCTCGCACTGGCTAATACTCTCGTAGGTCCACTGCAACGTTTTGTCTGAGTTCTGGCCATCCATCTCTAATGAGGTTAGCGAGGGCTTTCAAGGTGGGATCTTTGGAGGTTTCTTGCTGAAGCTTGCGCAACTTTACATCGCTCACTGGCAATGAGGTAAAGATTTAGCTGATGGAGGCGATCAGCTCCTTGTTTGCTCTTGAGAGTGTATCTGCGTCGTATAGCTCCCTTTCGGGCTTGTATGTTAGCTTGAGGTCATATTTCTGTAGGCGTAGTAGCATTCTTTATAAACGCGCTGGTGCTTGGTCTAGTGGTTTGACTACGATTGACACTAGTGGCTTGTGGTCGGTTTCTGCATTTTCCTTTGCATATA